TTCCTTCCTTCCTTCCTTCCTTCCTTCCTTCCTTCCTTCCTTCCTTCCTTCCCTTCCCTTCCCTTCCCTTCCCTTCCCTTCCCTTCCCTTCTCTTCCTTTCCCTTCTTTATTTCTACCTTGCAAAGAAGGTTATTTCTAATTTTCCTGGGAAAATCCCCTCTCACTTTATTTCCTTCTTTCTAAAGTGAAATGGTATTTACTAATTATAGACTGAGAAATCCTGATTCGGAAATCTAAATTGGAACATCTTGGGTTGCCAGATTTGCATTAGACATGCTCAACTTTTGAAGCTGGTGTTAGTATTCCCAAATCCACAAAACTCAGGAATCTGAAATCCTCCTGACTCAAGCATTAAGGAACACTCTGCCTGTGTTTGATCACTCATCTCTCCATCTGGAGTCCCCTTCTCCACCACCCTGCCCCTAAGTCTCGACTTCTCTGCTATGCATTCTTTTAACAGTTCATCCCAGGAGCCTCAAAGTCTGCTTGTTATTTTAAATTTAGTTAATCGCTGAGTTCCCAGAACCCTAATGGCTGTGTGGATTTTAAAATGTGTATTTAACAATGAACCCCCATGTCCCTACAGCTAACAACTTCCAGCTACTGAAACAAATCAGTCTTCTCATAAATTGCCCTTGAAAAATACATTTGTGTCTAGATAGAAATGGAAAAGTTTCCCAGAGGGTTTTGAACTAATGGTCTGTTTAAAAATAAAAATTAAAAAAAAAGACTTTAAAGGGGGTGGGGTTGGTAAAGTGCTTGACTCAAGATAGACTGAGCAATCCTGACATCCCAGCACTGTGGAGGAAGAGACATCCTAGAAGTATCAGTGAGCTCCAGGTTTACTGAGAGACTCTGTCCCCAAAATCAAGATGAGAAGCATTGGTGAAGACAGTGCAGTGCATATTTGCCCCAAACCTTCATATACTCATGTACAGACATGAACATGTATACCCCAAAAGGTAAAAGAAACAAAAATAGTAGAAAAGTATCCCCAAATCTCATAATGTACCATCAAAATGTTGAAGCCAGTGCCTTCAGCAATGCTGACATTTAGGCTCATGTTATAAAGCACAGCTGTGAAGCACTTGTCAGGTATCTTTAAAGCCCAGAGTCCTGGCTCAGAGACCTGTGATAGAACCAATTTTTTTGCTGACCTTTGGGACCCTATTCCTCATACCTAGTTGCCTTTCCCAACTTTAATATATGGAATGTGCTTAGTTCTCCTGCAATTTGGTATGCTGTGTTTTGGGGGTATCCATGGTAGACTTGACCTTTCCTGAACAGAAACAGAGGAGGAGTGGATGGGAGGTGAGACAAAGGGGAGCTGGGGAAGGAATGGGAGGAGAGGAGAGAGGGGAAACTGTGATCAGGATATAAAATAAATAAATTAATTAATTTTTAAAAAGCCCAATCAGACCAGCTCCTACCTTGTCACCATGTTCTCACTCTTACTAGCTCTTCCTAACCCTGGCAACATGTTTAGTTACTCTCTCTGGATCAAGGTAGTTTCGTTTGTTAAGTACAATGTGAAGGATTGTTCTGTTGATTAGGGAGCAACACAGAAATAGACTACAGGGGCTTGGTAGGGAGGCTGTCCACCATGCTGAAGATGAAAATTCCTCTCATCTCAGAAACCTAACAAACACCTCAAAAGGAAGCCAGGAAGACCCTTCTACAAGCTATGATAGTCTACTTCCGGGAGCAGAAAACTTTCACAGGGAAAAGTCAAACTTGATTAACTAAATTTTGGACACAAGAGCACCTTGAACCAGCTGCCAGTTGCCTACACACACTAGCTATGGATGTGATACCCAGAGCAAGCAGTTTCCCCTGAGAGGGGATGAGCAGAGATCTGTGAATGACTTGAAAGTCATTCTTCTCCCCGCCCCCCCAATTTTACTTGTGCTGCGCCTTCTCTGTATTTGGGAGGAGGCAACTTCAAAAGGCATTAGCCTTGTCTTACAGATTGAGCATTCTAGAAATGAGAGCCAGTGCTCTAGACAGACCTCACACTGTAGCATAACTAAACACGGGGAGGTTGGTACAAATACTCAATTTCGAAGTTCAAGTTTTAGGTGTACTGTGTATTTGTGTGGGATGTATTATGTGTTTTAATATCCTCTTCAAACGCGCTTTTCTCAGAGTGTATTTTCACATAGAAATGTACATTTCACTGAGTGTAAGAACAGTAAGGAAGTCTAATTGCCTCCCCCAAATTATCATTTTCACTTGTATATTTTAAGCGTCCCATGCCTGCTGCTGTGTGCTGTAGACGAAACTTTAAAGCAATAATGAGACTATAGAAATGGCCCAGTGATTAAAAGCACTGGCTGTTCTTACAGAGAACCTGGTTAGTTTGAATCACAGCGCCCATATGGTAACTCACAATCACCTAAAAAACTTCAGTTCCAGGGGATCTAGTGCCATCTTCTGGCCTTCATAGACTCTTGCACAATGTAGTAAACAAACTCATGTGGCAAACAAACATGCACATAAATAAAAGTTTTTTATAAGTAAGTTTTTTTTAAAGTAGTGAGTTGTGTTCCAGCTGGAAATTTTTCAGACACATGAGAAAATTGTTAAGTGTTATTTCCAAGTTAGGGTGACAAGAGCAAAACAAAAATGGGAGAAGAAAATATTATTCTCCTGCCCTGGGCTTACTTCAGGCAACTATAGCTTCAGTGGATGGGTCACTAATTTCTCAAGATGAGTTACTGGTCATACTTTAATGCCATGGAGTCACCCTGGGTACATGTCCTGTCTCCAGATGCTGGCTTGAAGATGAGGCCAGATCTGGGGCTGAGCATGAAGTTGGTGGCTACTCATTGTATGTACATAGGGTGGAGGTGACAGGAAGGAAACACTTGCCTGCATTGTTGAATGTCAGCATTACTCTAATTCTATTTCAGGTAGCCTTGTTGAAATTTCACCTGTACCCTCACCCTCATCCTCGCCTCCTCAAGGGTCACCTGCCAGTAGTCCCATTGGCAACATCACTTCAGCACAGTTTCCAGAATCCCATGAAATAACTGCCAAGCGAGGCCCTGGATCTCACAGGGCCTTAACTTACACCCAAAGTGCCCCTGACCTGTCCCCTCAGATCCTGCCTCCACCTGTCATATGTAGCAGGTAAGAACTGTGTACTGGTAACAGAAGAACTATAGGATAATGTGATGCTATGTTTGAGGTTATAATAGCAATTCAGCTTTTCCATGGCTCTCTGTAAATAGAAACTTCATTTTCCATTCAGTCTGAACAGAGCTTTGGAGAGAATGCAAAATAATTATCTGTATATATCTGGTTATGTATACTGTTGGGTGATGAATAAAAATGTGTGTTTTGTAGGCGAGGGACATGGTTCAAGGGTTAAGAGTGCTTGCTACACTTACAGAGAACCTTAGTTGGGTCCTAGCACCCACATCAGATGGCTCACAACCACTTGTAACCCTACCTCTTGGGGATCTGATGCTTTCTTCTGTCTTTCAGGATCACCTGCATTCATGTAAACATACCACATACAGACACATACATGTAAATAAAATGAAGGTTTAAAATTTTAAAATAAATATAATAAAATATATTATTTAAATTTTCATCAAGAAATCTGATGCAATTGATTATTTTATTGGAATGTTTTTACGTGTTATCCTGTGACTATTCTATGCTAATTTTAAGGCACTTTACCTGAAACTTAAGTGTTTAATTTTAACTCTTCCAAAATGAACTAATAACACGTACTACATTATGGCTTGACTCAAATGGTTCCCTGAATGAAATTAGACAATTTCTTCTTACATCACAATGAAGCAGAATTACACACTGATCCTGGGGATGCATGCTTATAACCCTAGCGCTCAGAAGGATAGCTGGGAGTTCAGAGACAGCTTGAACTACACAGTGAGTTTGAAGTCAACCTGGGCTATATCCTAGGAAACCATTTCTCATAAAGAAAGGAAGGAGAGAGGGAAAAAAGGGAGGGAGGGAAACTGAATTTCCAAGTATTATCAATGGATGATTAGGAAGATCTTAATGTTTTTTTTACTATCATTATGCATAAAGAGGAAACACCTCCAATTACTGATGAAAATATTTTTGTTGTTGTCCAGCAATATCTTCTTTTTGGATAGTTGCTCTTAAAGTGTTAAATATTTTTTAAGGTCTTACTTATTTTTATGTATATGGGTATTTTGCCTGTAGCCCTAGGTGGCTAGAGGACAATGACGGATTGGCTGGGACTGTAGTTACAGATGGTTGTGAGCTACCATGTGGGTGCTGGAAATCAAACCCAGGTCCTCTGGGAGAACAGTTAGCGCTCTTAAACACTGAGCCATTTCTCCACTCTCTAGTAGTAAGTATTTTTAAGTAGGAAAGAGGCAAGTGTTTTAAGCATAATCCCGAGAATGCCTTTAAAAATGTTATTGTCTGCAGTTAATGAAGATGACTATTTGAATGTATTAGCAGCACAAAGCTTTCTTGTGTCTCATTTTTATTAGCGTACTCTCTTTGATAATTAACAGCTGATACTAAGCTTCACAGGTTTCTTTTGCTTGTAGCTTGTCTGTAAACCCCATATAGCATCACTTTGGAAGGATACTTGAGATCAAGAAACAATGATCTATTTCTAATTACAGATTAAGTGGATTCACTCAGTGGTGGTTTCTTGACCCTGTTGTTTAGGGGCTTGTGGTAAATCAGAATCTCAGAGGACACTTTGTTGTTGGGGAAAGTGAAGGCAGAGAGAAGAGAGGTTGTGGGTCCGATACCCATTTGATACCCCTCACACACACAAGGCCTATGTTCTTCCCCATAGGGCCCAGCTTTTAAAGGATCCCCCAGCACTAGACAACACCACAGCCTACTGAGCAAGACTTGAACACATAACACCTGGGGCTTGCTTCTCATCCAAACTTTACTGTCATAAGATAAATAAACATAGTTTATTTTAACATCTTTATGTTCACTTCCTTTCTTTCTACAACTATGTTTAAGGAGAAAAAAAAATACCCAACCTTGACTGTTGGGTGAAGAGCAGAGTAAAATGCTATCCCAGTACTCAAGCATTCTAACTAAAAATGAGTTCTGTGGGCTTTCTATCCACAAGGTCTTCTTCCCAGTGCTGTTGTGCAGTCAGAGACCGAGACATGCTGCTTCACGCTCAATGTGCCAAAAGTTCCGAGGAGCTCTTGGTCTGTTTCATGTCTGAGAGTTCTCTGAGTTCACTGGACCCCATCTCTAATTCCCTTAGGTTAACACCCTGTAATTGTTCGGGCATCTGACATTCAACAGGCTTGCTGAGGGAAGCATTGTTCTTTGTTCTGTACCCTGAGCCAGGGTAAAGTCCAGCAGTGTGATTTGGGTTAAGAACATCTGCTTCTGGCTTCTCCAAGGGGTTCTCCCTCCCTCAAGACTTGTGAGAAATAATTATCAGAAAGAAAAGCTTGGGGTGTTCAGGAAAGCTTTACGGCTTGCCCTGCTTCACCCCACCAAGATCATCTTGGTTGTTTTTAGAGGGAAGAATGTCACAGAGTTTTCATAATGAGAGTGAAGAAAAAACCCAAGGGAATTTCTCTGTCTCCTTGTTCAGTGATGTTTAGAAATCCAGTAGTGTGCATTTTATTTGTTTGGGCTTTATAAATCTATAATTCAAACCAGCTTTTATAATCCCTTTAAGGCAGCCACCCATGTAGTCACAAAATGCTCCAGAAACACTATTGTGGTTTTCCTTGCTGAACTCGAAAGACTTGGCATTGAACCCTAGTCTCTTGGCCGATGTAGTGCCTTTGCAACAAGCTGGGATTTTTTGTTTTGAGTTTTTTATATTTTGGACAGGAGCTACTCTATTTAAACTAGTAACGTAAAGAGTCCTCTTAGGTATTGTCAGGCAAGGAAAACCCGTCACATTGGTAAGCTTTCACACTTTCACATATGATTAGTGGTCATAAGTTAGCATGCACTTTTTATTTCTTTTATTTTTTTCTTTTTATTTCATAAGGAAAAATGATGGATTTTCCTTATTAGAAATAAATCCCACATAATGCTTTTCTGTTTATATTTCGGGGTTGAAAACTCAATTTACTTGGTATGATGGTATACTGTAGCTCAGAAATATTTTACTGTGTGTACAATTGAGAAAATGATGAAACATTTAGAAATTCAACATTAGATATTCATTTCTTCCCCTTTATTTTGGGCCATTGTGTTAAGTCACCATGAAACAAAAATGTTCTCCTGAGATTTTTTTTATTATGCAGAAGAGCCCAGACACAAAATAGATGATTAAAATCTAATCATGAAGTGGTTAAACAAAATAATAAAGCAGGGGCTAGTTGGGATCTCAGGAGGGTTTATGAGATTACCTTTTGACTTGAAAAATAGTCAAGTTATTGAGAAAATATTCAGATTCTCCTTTACACCCACCTCTATGATGAGTCTTCATCCACTTCTCTGCCAACTTCCACCATTTTGGTTGTCTACAGATTGCATTGACTCAGTTTTTGTTCAATAGTGTTTATAGTCATTCACCTTTTCCCACAATGTTCCTTTCCTTTGTTTATTTCCTTAAGGTCTTAAAGGATGACTGAAATATTTCGGAAAAATTTATTTTGGGGAAAAAATAAAATAAATATCCAACATTCTATTTTAATGTTTGCTGTCTTTTATTAAAAATATGATTAGAAATTGAGTATCCTGACTCTAACAAATGAGTGGAACAATGAGGCTCTAATAGCCAGACGTGTGCCAGAACCTTCAGAATTACTTCACAGATCGATGACAGTTATTTCAGTATTTTTCCAAATAATATAACAATTTTGCAGCATTTCAGTGTAAATATGTGGACTGAGGAGAAGGAAGAGAAGAGTAAGATGAAGTTGAAAACCCTTTGACTGATCAGTCACTGACCAAAAGGGCTACCTATTAGCTACTGCATGTAACATGAAGTGGGTTGTTCCACAAGACACAACAGTAAAAGGCTATGAAATTTTATTGTGTTTGTTGTGGTGGTTTTCATATGAAACATGGAGGCTCCTGGAAAATTGCTAGAGCCAGATGACTCTGACTTAACCAATGGTTGGTAGACGTTGGAAACATGGTATAGGAGCCTCATTAGATTGAAGCCAGTGGTCCCTACAATTGTGCTTTAAAGAGTGTTCCTTAATTCTGGCCCCTCCCTGGCTCTCTCTTGCCTTCTGTGAGCTATGATATAGGATACTTTGTCACTGCCCTGATATTTTGTTTCAGTTCTGATTCAAACCAGTAGAGATCCTGAGGGAGGATGGACATCCCTTAACTGTGAGTCAGCGTAAGTCTTTTTCCCCCCCCGAAGTATGTGTTGAGGGGTTTTGATACAGCAACAAAAGACCAAGACAGGGAATGATTGATGTTTGTGAGATACTGTGTGCATAAAAGTGTTTTACAACCTACATAGGTATTGATTTTTTTTCCCCTACATTTCTCAGTTGTGGCAGACCTTATTCACAAGGGAATCCTCCTGATGGACCCTCAGAGAGAAGTGGCCCAGCCATTCAGAAACCAAACAGAGCAGGTAATACACATTTTTGATTCTGTTGCTCAAATTCAAGTAATTTTATTTTATATTTTCCTCCTGAACAAAAAGGTAACTTGAATCGTGGCTTTTTCTTTTCAAATTTGTAAATTTTCACATTTTTGATTTTTGAAATGTGTGTGTATATGTGTGTGTCTGTGTATGTGTATGTTTATACACATGAGTGTAGTACCCATGTAGGCCAGAATTGGGCATCAGATCCTTGTAGCTGGAGTTGAGTTATGGATGATTGTGAGCCTCCTGATATGGGTACTAGAAACTGAACTTCCTCTACAATAGCAGCAAATGTTCTTAACTACTGAACCATCTCTCCAGCTAATTTAAATTAAATATAAAAATTAAAAAGACAAATAAGGAAATAAAAATTATCCTCAACCCACTATGTAAATTTAACTCATAGAAATGTTTCAACATGGACTCTCCCACTTATTTCTGTACTTTTCACACACAAAAAAATGTACATTATTTTAAAATCAGGTCCCCCTTTCTATAATGTGTAGATAGCACTGCATGTTACATGAAATGCTATACATAAATGCTGGCTCATTTTGAGGCCTTGTTTATTATTGGGCTGCCTGACCTAGCAATGCTTATGAGGTCATAAATCCAGATGCTAAGATATAACCGTGATTGTCCCACTGTTCATGATAATATGGTTTTTCTTGAGGCAATATCTTGAAGTTAAGAGCATCGGTGCTGTAACCTGGGCCACCCCTCCTTCTATTCCCCACTCACATGTCATCTAAATTTCTGCACTTTAGGTCCTGCACTTGCCAAGTAGCAGAGCGACAGTAGTCCCCACAGCATAAGATCACTGCAAAGATTAAGTAAACCATGTAGGGGGGATGAAGAGATGATTTGGAAGTTTGGGGCATCGACTGTCCTTCCAGAGGTTTTGAGTTTGATTCCCAGCACCCACATCTGGTGGCTCAACAGCCATGTGTAACTCCAGCTCAAGGAATATGATACTCTCTTGTGGCCTCTTTGGGCACCACACATGTTGAGCACACAGAATCATTTATTTCTTATTGGAATATAGGGTCAGTGTAAGTAGTTACTGCTTGTGATGTTACTGTGATAATTATTCTTGTTGATATCGCTCTATGGCTCGCTTTGACTGTGCTGAGAGTGCACAATGTAGAAAATAAAACATCTGTGAAGTGTAAACTTTAAGGTCATGGCACCACCAGGAATAACTGTGTGTCCCCATCAATGTTTCTTGGTAGATATTCTCAAATAAAATTTGTTGACATATTTTTTTCTATGACGATCTTATGTAGTGATATGTGAAGTGCCAGAAGTCAAAGGAAAGATACCTGTGTGGTTACTGTGCAGCTTATTGAAGACTTAGGATGGTTTTCTAAGTCTCCCAGTGCTGACAGAATGAGAGGATCAGGACAGGCTACCTTCCTGGGCTCTCAAATGCCACGATCCTCCAAGGCACAGGCCCCCTTCCTGGACTCTCACAGTGCTGTGTTCTTCACTGCAGCTTCTCCCTTTGCTCCATAGATCAGGAGTTGCAACTACTAATTATGTTTTTAATCTGTCCTTTGTTCCTAACTTTATCTAGCATGCAATTACATTAAAAAGATGGAAGAAAAGAGGATCATGGGATAATGTTACAAATGTCTCATTCTTTCTGAAGACTGTGGAAGCATGTTCTTTAGACACTTGTGTTTTCTAGTTGGATTTTCAGCTAACAATTTCTGAATGGAAGGTGCAATAATAGAGGAGAGAAAAGGAGGAAGCCCAGACTCCCAAGGACTGGGTCATATGCATAAGATCTGTTCACTCTCAAGTATGAGCCATTGCTTCATGCTCTGCAGGCCACTCACTCCTGGGTGTGTCAACATCATCATTCCCATGACATAAGTCATTAATTACTGTGTGGTCAACTGTTCTCTAGCTTAATACAGTGAAGGAATAGAGGAAATGGAAATTTAAAACAAACTAGGGGATGTAGCTCAGTGGTAGAGTTCTTGATACTGTTGTGTAAAGCTTCTGTTTTGATCCCTACTACCAGAAAGAAAGAAAGAAAGAAAGAAAGAAAGAAAGAAAGGAAGGAAGGAAGGAAGGAAGGAAGAAAGAAAAGAAAGAAAGAAAGAAAGAAAGAAAGAAAGAAAGAAAGAAAGGGAAAAAGAAAGAAGAAAGAAAGGAAGGAA